GTCGTGGAAAGTGACGTTGCGGACCTTAAAACTCCGGTTTTGTCCGTCCACACGCAGACACCCAAAACGGAGAAAACGCAGATCTTCACTTTAGCCGGAGTTTTTAAAAAGATCCGTTTTCGTGTGAAAAAACTCCGTTTTCGTGTGGATGACAGGCCAAAACGTAGAAAAATATCTACGTTTTGGCAGATCCCCGGCTACGTGTGGACAGGGCCAAAGTTTGGTATTATTTTTTTTTTGTGTAGCAACTTTGGTGTGATGATTCTTTTGTCTGTGGTTGTTTTTTGTTTAGGGTACACATTACTGTTGAGTGTGTTGTGGCAGTTTGTCTTTTAAGGGTTTGTGTGTGTGTGTGTGTGTGTGTGTGTGTGTGTGTGTGTGTGTGTGTGTGTGTGTGTGTGTGTGTGTGTGTGTGTGTGTGTGTGTGTGTGTGTGTGTGTGTGTGTGTTGGGTCCGGTAGTCTAGTTTTTGTGGCTTTATTTCTGTCAGGGTTAATTTTCCTGTTGGTTTAGGGTAGAGGGAGGTCACCAGATCCTACGGCCCAATGTGGGCTGGTCTAGGTGGTCTCTCTTCTTTTGTTCTTTTTGGCCGGTCCATCACTTTTCTCTTGGAATTTCGGGTTGGGTGTTTTTATGTGGGCTGTTCTTTTTTATCTTTCCTCTGTTTTTGCAGGTTCTACAGGAGGATGGCGACTGGACAGGAGCTGAAGATTGTGAGTTCCTGGAGGAACTCTTTTGAGAGGGGGAGGTGTTACAACCCCTGCTAATGGAACAAAACAAGAACCCATCCTCTTAGAGGACTGCTGTGCCAGTGCAACCAGCTGATTGGCTGCTTCAGATGTTTCTGCCGACGCCCTTCTGCTTTATTATTGGTGTGGCTGTGTGCAGCCTGGATTTTATGAGTGGCTGCACCTGTGCAGCCAAAAAAAAAAGGCTGCTAAGTGCAAGTTGGAGGGACTCAGGAGGATCAGGAGTTGAGGCTGATCAGAGGGAGCACCTTTGGTAGCTCTTGCCTGTGTGGCGTTTTTGGTGAGGCCTTTAGAGGCTTGTTTTTAATAAAAAAAATATACTCTTGTGTCCTGACGTCCCTAACACTCCCCGTTAGTCCCTACTTGATTTTATATTAGTTCTCCTCATCCCTCTAGTTATTAGTTGTTTATATTTGCCCTCAGTCTCTAAGTTTAGTTATCCGTGTTTCATAGGTTTAGGTTTATCTGCCCTCCTGCTTGTTTCTTTCACCATTTAGATTATTGTGCACACCTGCCTTCCCTCCAGCTCTCACTACTCACACCTGTCACCTGTTCCCCTAATCACCTCCCTCTGTCTTGTCCTTCAGTGTTTGTCGTCCATTGTTGTGTCTGCACCGATTGTGCAAGTTCTCCCACTTAAAATGATGACAGAGGTCTGTAATTTTCATCATAGGTACACTTCAACTGTGAGAGACAGAATGTGAAAAAAATCCATGAATTCACATGGCAGGATTTTTAAAGAATTTATTTGTAAATCAGGGTGGAAAATAAGTATTTGGTCAATAACAAAAATTCAACTCAATACTTTGTAACATAACCTTTGTTGGCAACAACAGAGTTCAAACGATTACTATAGGTCTTTACCAGGTTTGCACACACAGTAGCTGGTATTTTGGCCCATTCCTCCATGCAGATCTTCTCGAGAGCAGAGATGTTTTGGGGCTGTCGCCGAGCAACACGGACTTTCAACTCCCTCCACAGATTTTCTATGGGGTTGAGGTCTGGAGACTGGCTAGGCCACTCCAGGACTTTCAAATGGTTCTTACGAAGCCACTCCTTTGTTGCCCAGGCGGTGTGTTTGGGATCATTGTCGTGTTGGAAGACCCAGCCACGTTTCATCTTCAAAGCTCTCACTGATGGAAGGAGGTTTTGGCTCAGAATCTCACGATACATGGCCCCATTCATTCTGTCCTTAACACGGATCAGTCGTCCTGTCCCCTTAGCAGAAAAACAGCCCCAAAGCATGATGTTCCCACCCCCATGCTTCACAGTAGGTATGGTGTTCTTGGGATGCAACTCAGTATTCTTCTTCCTCCAAACACGACGAGTTGAGTTTATACCAAAAAGTTCTACTTTGGTTTCATCTGACCACATGACATTCTCCCAATCCTCTGCTGTATCATCCATGTGCTCTCTGGCAAACTTCAGACGGGCCTGGACATGCACTGGCTTCAGCAGCGGAACACGTCTGGCACTGCAGGATTTGATTCCCTGCTGTTGTAGTGTGCTACTGATGGTGACCTTTGTTACTGTGGTCCCAGCTCTCTGCAGGTCATTCACCAGGTCCCCCTGTGTGGTTCTGGGATTCTTGCTCACCGTTCTCATGATCATTTTAACCCCACGGGATGAGATCTTGCGTGGAGCCCCAGATTGAGGGAGATTATCAGTGGTCTTGTATGTCTTCCATTTTCTGATAATTGCTCCCACAGTTGATTTTTTCACATCAAGCTGCTTGCCTATTGTAGATTCACTCTTCCCAGTCTGGTGCAGGTCTACAATTCTTTTCCTGGTGTCCTTCGAAAGCTCTTTGGTCTTGGCCATAGTGGAGTTTGGGGTCTGACTGTTTGAGGCTGTGGACAGGTGTCTTTTATACAGATAATGAGTTCAAACAGGTGCCATTAATACAGGTAACGAGTGGAGGGCAGAAAAGCTTCTTAAAGAAGATGTTACAGGTCTGTGAGAGCCAGAGATTTTCTTTGTTTGAAGTGACCAAATACTTATTTTCCACCCTGATTTATAAATAAATTCTTTAAAAATCCTGCCATGTGAATTCATGGATTTTTTTTTTCACATTCTGTCTCTCACAGTTGAAGTGTACCTATGATGTAAATTACTGACCTCTGTCATCCTTTTAAGTGGGAGAACTTGCACAATCGGTGGCTGACTAAATACTTTTTTGCCCCACTGTATGGGCCTGACCACTTTGGCAAAAGTTTCTTAGCCAGCTTCCCAGAGGTGTTCTTGGTGTTACCAGTTTTAGGAGCGAAGATTTAGGACCAGGCCTCATCACCTATGTTGAGTTTATGTTTATGTGCTTAGCAGACGCTTTTACCCAAAGCGACTTACAATTATTTATTTATTTATTTATTTATTTATTTTTAACCTATAGGGCATGTTGTGATCTGTGGTGGAAACCGGAGTACCCGGAGAAAACCCACGCATGCATGGGGAGAACACGCAACTCCACGCAGAAAGGCCGCAGCCGAGTTTCGAACCTGCGAGGCAACAGTGCTAACCAATGCGCCACCATGCAGCCCAAGTGACAATTGGCATGTTGCCCTTGAGGCTAACAACAACAATAACAACAACTTGACATCAATCATGGAGACGAGGGAACAAAGGAGTGGACGGTAGAGAGGGTGGACGGGTGCAGGGAGGGTGCTAGTTAAGAAGATGCTCTCTGAAGAGTAGGGTCTTCAGGAGTTTCTTGAAAATTGAAAAGGAAGCCCCTGTTCCTGTAGTGCTTGGAAGGTCATTCCACATTTGTGGAACGATGCATGAGAAGAGTCTGGATTATCCTGAGCGTGGTGTAGGCACTGCTAGCCGACGATCCTGTGATGACCGAGTTCAGAATGTGAGGCCTTCTGATCATAATAAGCCTTCCTGCCGTCAGCTGATTTCTCCAGATTTGTCTGTGCAAACGAAAACGCTGCAGGCAGATGGTTCTTCAGGTCCTGCAAATATTGTTCGCTTGTGTAAGCCGGGTCAGCCTCAGACTGAACTGGCTGGTACAGCAGGTGAAGGGGTAGGGTCATATACCCGTCATCATTTCAAACGGGGAGACACCTGTAGACTCATGAGGGGTGGCCCGTATGGCCATGAGGACCAACGGAAGCTTCACATCCCAGTCTCGGTGATTAGAGGACAGGTTCTTCCTCAGCATGCTGATAACCGTCCGGTTCATCTTTTCGACCTGGCCAGAAGGCTGGGGGCGATGGCTAATGTGGAAATTGGCCTTCACACCCAACAGTTTCCAAAGATGTTCCATCACTTCAGAGGTGAAGTGAGTTCCCCTGTCCGAGTCAATCCGAGTGGGAAGACCGAACCGGGCGAAGATGTGATTCATCAAGAGAATAGCTGTTGTTTGTGCCGTGTCATTAAGTGCTGGTAGACATTCAACCCACTTGGTGAATGCACAGGTCACGGTCAAGATGTATTTACTACCCCTGCTGGACCTGGTCAGAGGCCCCACCCAATCGAATTGCAAGTCCGACCACGGTGTGCATGGTCCCTTTCTCTGTGGGGAGCTCTGTGTGCGGGGTTGGACGGCTGAAACTGACAACAAACCAAACAACGCTGGACGTAGTCTGAGACGTCCAAAATCAGGAGCCCTTTATATAACCTTACATCGACATGATGAACATCGCATGAGTTCTGCACGTCTTCCATTCAGGTGTGCCATGCTGACAGCTGTGAGTGTGTGATGGTTTCTGGGCTCCAGCCAGGTGCATAAACATACTAACTGTGTTTGTTTTCTACACTTCGAAGTTCAGTAAGAGTGAAAATGTGTTTTCTTTACTTAACAGAGGTCAGGTTGGCCTTTTGGCTTCAACACAACAGCAGAAGATTTATAGAAAGGTGTAGATTTTCTCACCTGTGCTACTAACGAAGAAATCACTTTATTTCTTTACTCTGAACTTTACTCAAAATGAGAGTGCAGAAAGTCTCGTCTTCGACATGGCCCCGTCTTCTCGCGCTTATTATGGCTACTTATTTGGTTGCACGGTCGTAAATCCTTGCTTCTCTTGTTTGGAGGCCAGGCAGATGGATGTGTGTCACAGTTTGTGTCTGCAAATTAAATGTTTACTCCTCTTCATTTTGATGTGGATACTTGACCTTTGGGTACTTGTCAAGTACACAAGAATGTACTAGCATACTTGAATGTTTAGAAACAGCCCTAAACGTTTTGGTCTTCAGCCTGGTGCGCCGCACAACCAGTAGGCTTCGATCTCTGCACCTCAGGGACCTGCTGGAGGCGTAGGGACTAAGATGATCATCACTGTAAGATGGTGTCTGTGATTCTAACTCTAATCTGAAAAAAAATTTAGCTTTTTACTCGACAAATGTTAGTTTAAATCGTATCACGTTGTTTCATTAAGTCTTCAGTTTCGCCTGTGGAATTCCATCGGAGCTATCAGCTGTTTGAGCGCCGATCCTGCTCAGGTATCTGAGATGTTTCATTGTATTTTTGTGTTTAATAAAACACATAAAGCAATGCTGATGACACCTTTAACATAAAAGCAGAGCCCTTAAGGAAGAAAACACCAAAACAGTCACATTTTCCCTTTTGAATGAAACTTTATTGTGAATTCTAACATCAAAACAGTTAAAGTTCTGTCCAGAGTCCATAATCCAGATTAAAGTCCTTTAAACCCACCGGAGTATAATTGACCTATAGTTAAAAGTGCTGATTGTGTTAAAGTCCTTCATAGATTTTTCCCAGAGTGCTACATGACATCCAGACTACTTCATTAGTCGTTAATAACTACAGAAACCCAGAAGAGACGAGGAGAGAAAATACCTGTAAATAAAACGATCTTTTGTTTATGTTTGCATGACTTAAAGAGCAAGTCACCCCCAAATCACTTTTTTTTTGCTGATAAACTATGTAAAGGAGTGTCTAATCGTGCTGCAGACACGTGTAGTCAATTATTTGGCACTTCAGTGCGTCTTGGTTAAAATTAAAATATTCTGCCTAAAACTGGCAGTGTTGCGCCGTCGTCAGGGAAAAATTCTGCACTGTATTTGAATTTAAATCTGCCACCGCTATTGGCTAAGAGGTATGATATTATGTCATCTGGTACATTATGATGTCATAATGCCATTGTGAGCCTGTGTGTGTGTATTTGTTAGCGGCTCCGCCCTCTCGGTCTGCTAGGCAACAGCATGTGTTGCATTTTTCAAACATGAAGTGGGAGTGAAGTAAGTTTCTTGTAGGGGGTTACTTGCTCTTTAAATGATTGGTTACATCAAAGGTTTAAACAATTATTGAGTTATTTATTCACTGATCATTAGATTTTCCTGTTTAAATGAAGATGTTTCGTCTTTTAGACCGGAACGTTTACAGATGACGTTTGTTAATTTGTTTTTAATGAGGTTAAGGGTCTCAGGCTATTCTTTGGTAATGTTTACCTGAGCAGAACCAGAACATTTAAATAAAACCGTAACTTTCTTTTATTGGATGAAAACAGAACCAGACTAAACATGTTTCTGAGCATGTGACCCGGTTCTGTTGGCGTTGCGTCTGGTTCTGCTGATGTAAACACTTCCCCGTGTTCCAGTCACAACAGAGAAGACATCAGCTGCTGGTTCCACACCCAGAATCTGGATAAGAACCCGTCAAAGGTCAGGGATCATCGTAGAGGTCGGCAGCCTGTCAGTCAGTCCGTTACCATGGAAACCACCTGAGAAGACATAGGAGTAAACGTTAACTGTATTTCAAAACACTTCTGTCTTTCCCGTCAGGTGATTCTGGTCAGCCAATCAGCTCCGGTGTCTTGATGTCATCATTACCATCGCTGTCACCATCATAAATATCCACACATGTATCAGATTACTCTGAGCTGCAGCAGCGGAGCTGCTTCTTACCTAAGTGGTCCAGGCCATGCTGATGAAGGCAGCTTCATATCTGGACCTGATGGATCTCCGTCCCCGAGCTCCGCTACACACCTGGAACGTAACGACCAGCAGAGACGTCAGAGGACCTTTAGCTCAGAGCTGAAGCTGCTGACATGTTGGATCTAACGAGTCAGAAACCTTCAGTTTGGTTTCTTCTGCTTGTTGTTTACAGTTAAAGGTAGATAACTTTTGCTAATGTGTGTAAGGATGTAAGAATCAGAAGAAGAACAACAACAGGACTTTGGAGCTGAGGCTGCAGCTGGATCTATGAAGGTGAAGCAGAAGGAACCCTCCTGAGTGTGATTCAGTCTGGTCCAGAGAAACATCTCTAAAGGTGTGTGTGTTAGTCAGCGAGGCGTACCGGGATGCAGCTGCTCTCCTGCTTGACACACAGCTGCAGTTTGCAGTGCAGGTAGATTTCACCTGAGCTCCCAGAGAACTGGAACATGTTGAAGGAGAAGTAATTGGAGGTGCCCTGTCCGTTTCCCTGCATCGTCACTGTCTGGTCTGCAACGTTCGGACAGCTGCTCACAAACAGGAGAACACACTGATCAGAGATCAGGCCAGAATCAGTAACCACCACGATGAAGGAACCTCTGGTAGCTCTCACCTATTCAGGATCAGGTCGTATCTTAGACCCCCATCTGGTGATGCCTCGTTGGTAGCCCAGCAGGACTCGGTCACCAAGGAGACAACATTTGCATCGAGACCATCAGTGGCTAGCTCCACCCAGATCTTCTGATTCAGCTGGACTTCAGTACTGGGGTCCACAGCTTGTGTGCGGCTGGCGTCAGTGTAGGCCTTCATGGTCAGAGTGTAGGTCCAAGGTCCAGATGTGATGACCTGGACTACAGAGCTACACACACACACACACACACACACACACACACACACACACACACACACACACGCACACGCACACGCGCACACACGCACGCACACACACACACACGCACGCACGCACGCACGCACACACACACACACACACACACACACACACGCGCGCACACGCACACGCACACGCACACACACGCACACGCACACACACGCACGCACACACACACACACACACGCTAGTCTTTAGGGTTTATGAGGACATCTTGTTCGAACTCAACCAACATTTCTAGGACATTATGACTACTTGTGCTATCTGGTGTGTTTTTATAGATTTGTATGGTTCTCTGAGCTGCAAGCTCATGTTCTACCTGCTCTTCTTCTCGTGGTCAGACACACGTTACTGTTTTCTTGCTTCCTTCCTGTTCATTGAACTATTAACTATGGAGACAGGTTCACTGCTGGCACATTGAGGTACTGCACCCTTCATGTAAATTCCACTCAGACTGTTCTTCAGTAATAAAATTAAAATTAAGTCATCAAAACCTCTAACAACAACCTTTTATTAATGTTTGTGAAATCATTTTAAAAACAGTAACTCAACACACCTGTCTCTGATCCTGAAGGCCACTGTCTTCAGATCTGGCTGAGTCTGGATGCAGGAGAAGTCGATGTGGACCTGGTCTTGGCGAGTGATGATGTCAGAGGAGCTGTTCTGAGCCATGATGGTGTTCTTGTAGATGATTTCAGTGCTATTGGTCTTTAGAATAAAATCAAATTGATGTTACAGGTTTTGCATCCAAACATAACACATTTGTCTCCAAAGCCAGAAGGGTCCTAAACTAGAGAACTAGACTACCAGGGGAGATCCAGCTGCTTGTGGACCATGAAGAGATGGAGGAGAGAACTCACCATGACCTGTGTCCCACAGCTGTTACTGTTGAAGCTGAAAGTCACCATGTGAGTCTTCTCATCAACCTGACCTGTACAGGTTGGATCTCTGAGGTGTAAGGCTGAGTAATCGAATCCTTTCTCCGCCAGGAGACAGCCGATCAGAGTGAGAGAAGCAGAGTTCTGGCTGCAGACCGTCGGAGTCCCTGAGCATCACAATGTTAGTGAGAAAAGTAACAGTTGGACATTGTTGTCATGATGCTGTCATGCTTCCCTCATACCCAAAGCACTGATCTCTCTGTAAGGGGAGGCAAAAATGGACCGGCAGAAGCATCGGGTTTCTCCACCAGAAGTCTCTCCACAGAACTCGTTATCGATGCAGGTCTGGTCCTGACAGAAGGCATCAGGGGAGGCTGCAGAGGGACACACTGATGTGTGATTTCACAAACAGGACCACTGCATAAACCTAGAGGTTCTTTCTTTAGACCAGATGGTGGAGTGAAGCAGGTCTTACAGCACTCAGCCACGGTCCTCCAGCCCTCCAGTGTGGTGTTGCTCATCAGGCTGCAGGCTCTGGTGTAGGCCTCTAGGAACTGACACGGTAGACCATCGACCGCAGGATACCTGCACAAAGTGTCTGAGCAGGCCTTTATGTAGGGCTCTGGGTCGATGTTACAGGAGGAGAAGGGTGCCTTCTTCAGGAGGTTACAGCTGCTCCACATGAGGAAAGCAACACGAAGGCAACAAATGATTAATAAATGTTAAAGACCTCCCATGGCTTTCCTGATCAGGAAACGGCTCGCAGTTAATAAGTTAAAAATGTTTTTTCACTGAAGTTGACCTTAAGGGATACCGAACAGTTTTGGCTTGCTCTTAGCATCCCCTGGTGTCCGTTAGTAAAAACAAAAGTGAAGCTTATCTACTCACTGTGCGTTCATCTTTTTAACACCTTAATCTAACTGCTGAAATGTGTCCTCAGCCTTCATTACTTTCTACAAGTGCGATTCATCATTAAATCAAACAAATCAGCTGTGTTAAATGATCTAAAACAGGCAGGAAATGTGATGAAGTCAGATTCCATTACCAGGCATGTCAGCTCCACCTAACCTTAAGTCCAACAGGGACCGGACCAGCTACTCTGAAGTTGCAAGTGCAATATTCTGGCCACAGGGGGCAGTAGGGTCTGAGTGACATTTCTTTAACCCTGTAAAGCCAGGGTATTCAATTCTGGTCCTTGAGGGCCAGTATCCACGTTTTAGTTGTTTTTTGGCTCCAACACACTTGATTCAGTGGTTGAATCACTTTGGCAACAGCTCATCAGGCTCTGCAGAAGCCTGTTAATTACCTGCTGATTGAAATCAAATGTGCTGAAATTAGGGTTGGACCAGAGTTGAATACCCCTGCTGTAAAGGGTCATTTTAGCACATACTGGCTCAAGAAAATGATTAAAAATAGAAAAAAGTTGTAAAGTAAGGCTGTGTTGAAAATAGGGATGGGTACCTTTGACATTTGAATCGATCCGGTACTAATTCCCGGTACCTACGAATCGATACCAACACTTAACGGTACCAATTTTCGATACTTTTGAGTTTTTATTATTTTAATTCTCTTTTATAATTAAATATTTATATTTTCTCAATATATAACCAATATTTGATAAATGTCACGATAAATAACATACAACTGTTTGTATTTTAACATCGTCCTTGTAGTTTTATAAGCTGATAATTAAACTGAAGCAAACATCTTTACTGTGAACTAAATTTACTGTGTATCTTCATTCCTTTTGCCGTCCTTTTTCATTTGATTTTTCCTACTGGGAAGTTACAATTTCAGAGGAGAAAGCGAACGTACCATTAGCTGATCACAATGGTGGCAATGGAAGCTAACATATCAAGCTAACGTTATCTTAAACAGTTTATTTAGCTGCTGGAGCACATTTAAATGATGATTTAGATCATTGTCACTGGTTTCGTCTTCACCCGTCACATTTAGTAAAGTGAAGCCAAACTTTAGAGCGCGTTCATGTTCTTCTAGTCGGGAATTCGAAGTTCCGAGGAGAAAGCGAACGCACCATTAGCGAAACGGAAGCTAACATATCAAGCTAATTATATTTACCTACTGGAGCAGATTAAGATGAGGATGTCTCACTTAGATCATTGTCGCTGGTTTCATCATCACCCAGTTACCCATCACATTTAGTGAAGTGGACCCAAGCTTTAGCCTGCGTTCTTTCTACCATGCTGCTCTGTTTACAACTCGCTCGCAGCGAGCGACGACATAACGCTCTTGCGCACGCGCAGCTGTCTAGGCAAGTTCTCGTTATGATGGACTGGTACCAAAACGAGGCACCGTTTCAAATGACGTGAATCGGTGCTCGGTCGGTACTATGGAATTCGGTTGGTACCTTAAAAAGTACCGAATTTGGTACCCATCCCTAGTGGACTCAGTGGTCTCCTTCAAAAAGCAGCTGAAGACTCACTTGTTCAAGCTGGCTTTGGTGTGACCTTCATCACCCTCTCCTTGTTCTGCTCTCCCCACCTATTCCACCTTCCTCAGGATCTACAGACATCTCTTTCCTATTCACTCTCTCTCTTTATTTACATTTTTAAATCACAAATGTCATTTTTTTGTTGCTCATTTTAAATATATTTTTAATAATTTTTCAAAATCTTTTTTATATTTTACATTTTTACATTTTTTTGTTTTTGTGAAGCACCTCGTGATTTTAATCTTGAGAGACGCTATAGAAATGATCTTTTCTTCTTCTGTCTTTGTGTGTTTAGCTGTTATCTTGTTATTTTTCATCTTCCTTTTCTCTAAGTCTATGTGCTGCTGTAGCAAGTGAATTTCCCTACTGTGGGATCAGTTAAGTCTATTCTATTCTAAAAGTAAAATGAATTTCTGTCAAAAGCCTAAACTAAATATAAGATTTTTTTCAAAATTGATCCTGCCAGTGAGGCATCAGTCCAGCCGCAGCAGCAGCATAGCTGAAGTCCATGGGGAGGTCTCACCTGGTGGAGCTGTGCTCAGAGAGCCTCAGGCCACTCAAAGGTCTGCTGGAGTTTCCACACAAACCCTGAAGAGAGGATCCAGAAGGTCCTGGACAGATTCAGGACAGAATGAGTCACGTAAACATCAATGTTCAGACTGGATGAACACAGCAGATCACTGAATGTTGTCAGAGTTTACATGCATCTGATGTTCTCTACCTTGCACACGGATCTGAGCAGTGTAGCCATCAAAGAAGACAGAGGTGGTGAAGTTGGAGAGAGACACCTTGGCAGTGACACCAGTATTGTCCTTAGAGAGCTCCACACCATTAACCAGCTGCACCGAGCTGCTGAGGACCATTGATGAGTTGTTCAGCTGCCTCGCCGAGGGACAAAGTGGAGGAACCACAGAGTGAAACATGTCAAACACACGCCAACACGTCTGTTTCCATAGCAACCACCACGGACTTCCGCAGCATCGCATAGAGGCTTCAGCTACACTCTGAATGCTGTCAGCTCACCAGAACTCTGCCTCCTTGTATCAGGTGGATTTGCACGCCCGACCCAGCCACTTGCAGAGTCACGCTGTCCAGAAAGCTCACGTCTTTCCGACGGCGCTCCTGGAAGTTGGCCAGCACCAGAAAGTTTGGGACTGATGGGATGGACAGCAGAGAGTACGCACATCGATCTTCGACTGAGTTCTTGTGGCCCTGGATGTCAATGACAGCCGGGCCTGTCACAGTGCAGATGGTGTCAAAGGAGCAGCTGGTGGAGACAGAAACAAACACACATCCTGAGCTAGTGCTACATGAGTGTTGTGCCCCTGCACAGATAAAACACAAAACTGTTCTTACAACCTTCTGATTACTGGACAGCCCTCTGCTGCCTTATCATTACAATCACTAAATATTACAATAGCCCACTAAAGCACATGCTGGGCCCAAATGGGCGTGTTTGCTGGGTGACTGGGTGGATGATGCACACAATGGAGAATGTGCATGGTTAGGGTGTACACTGTTCTGCTGATTTTACCATGTGTCATTTTCTAGTAGGAAACCCAGACGAGGCACCAGGTGGCTGTACTTACATGCCATTTCTTCCACAACGATCCAGGGGTCCACAGGCAGAGTGCGTGAGAACGTCAGCGGTGGAACAGGTGAGACTTTCACAGGTTTTAGGATCAGAGCTCACCACTGAACCAACCTTATATGGAAGACCTGAGAAATAAAGGAATGTTTGTGCTAACTTAATTCATCTTCTGAGTTTTTTTTTTAGAAACATCCAAACATTGAATTGATACAGAAACAGGAAGCTCATTGTTGGATTCAGAGATTCACAAACCCAAGTATCTGCAGCCGCTGACGTCTGAGAAGGCGATTCCTTCAACAGGTCTGAGTGTGTCAACTTTGTCACTATTTGCCAGAACATCAATCTGCAAAACAACAAATGGTCGAGCAACCCCAGAGCAGAGATCAAACAAAATGTCTACTTCTAATGAAGGTTTCATTCTAAATTGTGCCAGGAATGTTGCCGTACACCTTCCCAAAATTTCTGCTCATCACTGAGACTGGAGCAGTGGACCTTTGTCGGAATGTAAAAGAAGAAGGTGAAAAAATTGTATTTTGTTGTTGCTTTTTGTCTTTTCTTTGATTTTTGTGTTATGGTGGATCTGTAAGATGATTTGTGTGTAGGATATGTAATTAACAAGCCTCGCCTACTCCTTTCCCCTTTTGCTTATAGGTATTGCAAACCTTTTTTTGGTGAAACGAATATTTAATGTTTTTACTTTCTATTTTTACATGTTTAATTGTGTCTGAAATAAATTTAAGCAGCCTGTTTCTGTCAGCCTGCTGGGAAAGTGTGCAGCAGCAGATTTGGCACAGCCCTCAGGAACCTCACTGATCTGCAAAGAGCAAGGTCACAATGACAAAGACCCTCACACTCACCACTGGACTTTCTGGTGATTGCAGCATCAGAACTGCTTGTGGTCCAAAGTTTACTAAATAGAGGAAAATCTGTAAAGAATGAAGAATCTGTCAGCAAGTCTTAAAAAGGCATTTGTGTGAGTCATTTCTCATTTGCAAGAGTTGAGCTTAATGTAAAAACTGAAACTATTCATGAACAGTTTAACACATTGGTGTAGACACCGGGAGCATCAGCAGCAACACTCACGGTGGATCCAAGATTCAGGAGCACACTGCAGTTCATTGAGTTTGTGATGGTCGGCACAAAGATGTTGACTATCATTTGGATGCCGTCAGAACGTCCATAAATGGCCATTTGACCATCCTCCGCTTTAGGAGCCACCAGACAGTCTCCTTTAGTTCCAGGGTTGTAGAATCCATTGAAGCAGAATACCGTGTTATCATTTGTGAAGTTCACCTGAAAAGCAGAAATAAAAGGAACAACTTTCACAAAAGATTCAACAGGTATTGTTGTGTGTCCCATTTGTTTCTATTCTTTCTCTTTCTGCAACCCCACCCCCACCTGATACACACACACACACACACACACAAACACACACACACACACACACACACACACACACACACACACACACACACACACACACACACACACACACACACACACACACACACACACACACACACACATATATATATGTATATATAGACATATATACATATCTACATATGTATATGTGTATATATATACATATGTATATACACACACACACACACACATATATATATATATATACATATATATATATATATATATATATATATATATATATATATATACATATATACATATGTATATATGTCTATATATACATATATATATATGTGTATATATATATATATATATACACATATATACATATGTATATATATATATATATATATATATATATATATATATATATATATATATATATATATATATATATATATATATATATAAATCCATTCATTATCCATATTCAGTCGCTTATCCGGGGGAAGCAGCTGTAGCGTAATGGTTGTTGGCTCTTTTACGAAGCCTACGAAGAGAGTCTCAGATTTCTCTCTCCTCAGCCACTTGGGCCAGCTCCACCAGGGGAATCCTAAGGCGTTTCCAGCAACCATGACGGCACCAAACAGAAGCAAGTGGACATGAGGTAGGAACTTTGCTGAGCTTTTTGATTATCTTGTGTCTAGAGGAGCTACAGCAGCTGTATGTCTTAGATCCAGTCAGATCCACGTAACACATGACAGAAATGTCATATACAATATGTCCTCTTCTCCCTCAGTACGCATCTCCCAAAGACATATTTAAATATAAACAAGAGCTCTGAAGCTTCCAGACCAGAGAAGGACCTGTTCTTTCATGCGTATTTTATACAGTATGTGTGTTCATCATTTTAGGGTTTCACTCTATAAACCTGCTTCTATTTCTTTGTCTGTCGATTTAATTACCTTCTTCATTTTCACAGCTTATGTTTACTTGTTATCGTTAGTGCGTATGGATAAATATACCATTATTCACGATTACAGCCTTCATTCGGCTCACATCATCTCTACCAAACATGGAGAATAAACCACAAGAATGACAGCAGATGGAAAACGATTGTGAAGCATCAGGCTCCATCCTACTCACGTAGACTTGTTCATACTTCTGACCAAAGTACATGATGGGACACGAGCTGATGTCTAACTTCATGTTGTTAGAAAAACTCTGTGAAGACTGTCCAGAGGCACCTGAAGACATGGAGATACAAGAAAGGTGTCAGCTGTTTTAATACAAGCAAACCTTCACGTTGACTTGATGAAAGAGTAAAAGAGCAGCTGGATGTCCTTACCTGGCAGTGCAATGGCAGCTAACAGGCAGAGCAGGGGGCGGAGCATGTTGGAGGTGAGCGACTAGCTGACAGAGAGCTGGAATGACGAGGTCAAAAATGTAAAAACATTTTAAACACTTTCTAAATTCACGAGGTTTGTTAATGAGTCCAGAACAAAAAGACGAGCATAGAAGATAACTTTCATATGAGATACTACCAGCAAATTACTGATAATATCTTGAAATGTCTTTAAAGAAGCTTTCGTTGTTCACACTTAACACGAAATGGTTTTACTAAAGACCCTGATCATCTCCACCGAGGACAGAAGGATCTGATAATGGAACAGGGGACGGTCGTAGACCAGGACAGTCACGAGAAAGGTTTCTCTATTTCATGCAGTTATTAAATAAATCTGATGCTTGAATCCTAAATAACATCAGAGTTAAAAGTTTCTAACACTAACTTGATAACCAGCAGCTTAACCAGCTGTTGGGGAACATTTCCATCGCTTTAGCTTATTCAACCATTAACCAATAAGATACGCCCGATTGTGAGAATTTAAAGTTAACTGATGCTTCAAACTGATCTGGAGTCAGTGACGGGCCTGTCCAGGGTGCCCCTCTTCTATCTGGACGTAACAACCACTACTACCCTAATCAGGAATGACCCTACAGGAAATGAGTGAGTGAATGTTCCTTCACTCTTGTTCACGGAGACTTCCTGAGCTACATTACAGGTGAGTGTGCTGCTGCTCTTACCTTCTACTGGAGGATGAGGGCTGCTGCTGAGGAGACTCTGAAGCTGTTGCACAGATGTGTCTGTGGGACGCTCTGGCTGTATGTCTCCTCTCACTCCTTTTTATCCCTCCCAAATGAGGATGAGGAGACGATGAAGACTTGCTGATCTTGTTGTTATTTGACTCTTGGCACACGTCCAACTCAACATCACAGACTGTAATTGATAAATATGTGCTGGTGAGTTTGCCAATCCACAAGTGAAGGTGTGACGGGCAACAAGGTGTCTCTGCTGTGGAATGTATCTGACCTGGAACGGTTCCAGGGCATCTGCTGGTCACTGATCAGTTTACCTCCTCGTGTAAACCCGGCGTCAGCTACGGAACCTCACATTGTTCCTGATACGTTCTTATCCGTGGCTGACCTTCAGCTCCTTTACGTTAGCCACTCTGAACCTAAAAGTGGCCAGTCATTAACAATCTAGGCCCACAACCTGGCCGAAATGGGTGCTGAACCTAGCAGAGAAAACACTTGTAAACAAAGGAAAAAAAAAAAAACATTGGGATTTTAAAAGTGATAAAACAAAATAACTCAAATGTTATTATCCATCCACCCATTTTCTTCTGCTTGTCCGGAGTCGGGTCACAGGGACAGCAGCCTAAGTGGAGAGGCCCAGACTTCCCTCTCCCCAGCCACTTGGGCCAGCTCTTCCAGTTGGGTTAGGCTGCTTGTATCTGCAATCCCATTCTTTTGGTCACTACCCAAAGCTCGTGACCATAGGTGACGGTAGGAAGGTAGATCGACCCGGGAAATCAAGAGCTTTGCCTTACGGCTCTGGTCTCTCTTTACCACGACAGACTGGTACAACGCCCGCATCACAGCAGATGCAGCATCGCTTTTCCATCTCGTATTCCATATTTCCCTCACCTGTGAACAAGACTCTGAGATACTTAAACACCTCCACTTAGGGCAGGACCTCATCGCTGACCTGGAGAAGGCATTCAACACTTTTCCGACTCAAGACCATGGTCTCGAATTTAGAAGAGCTCATTCTCATCCCAGCTGCTTCACACTCGGCTGCGAACCGCTCCAGTGAGAGCCGGAGATCACAATCTGATTTAGCAAACAAGACCACATCATCTGCAAAAAGCGGAGACTCAATTTTTAGGCCACAAAAATGGATCCCCTCAACACCTCTGCTGTGCCTAGAAATCGGTGACAAAGGGCAGCCTTGGCGGAGTTAAACTTTCACCGGAAGCAAGCCCGACTTACTGCCTTCAATGCGGACCAAGCTCTGGCACCAGTCATACAGGGACCTAAAAGCCCGTATCAGAGAGCCTGGTACCCCATACTGCCAGAGTACCCCCCACAGGGACCCCTGAGGAATGCGGTCAAACGCCTTCTCCAAATCCACAAAACACATGTAGATTGGTTGGGCAAACACCCGTGCGCCCTCCAGGACCCCCCTAAGGGTATAGAGCTGGTCCAGTGCTCCTTGGCCAGGATGAAACCCACAAAAGCTGCTACAGAAGTAGAAGCCCTTATGGACAGAGGAAGCTCATTCCAAAGCTTCGGGCCTGCCACTGAAAAGGCTCAATCCCCTCTCGTCTTCAGATGATCTAGCAACCAAAAACAGCAGAATATTCTCAGTGTCCGAGTCGGGATATTTGGCCATAATAAGGCTGCCAGGTAAGGCGGCGCCAATCTATTCAGAGGCTTAAAGACCAGTAAAAGAAAGTTGAGGATTTCTAAAAACAATGGCCAAACAATGTAGTACGGCCAGAATCGGGGTAACATGGTCAAACTTCTCCTTGCCTTGAACAAGCAACACAAACTTCACACCGTCAGTTGCTAAGAAAATATTATTCAGCACCTTTGCCAGTGCCATCTCAGTACTGTGAAAAGCTTTAAAACCAGGCTGAAACATTTCCGCAATATTATTTCCATTCAAAAATTCTAAACTCTGCAATGGACTGGCACTCTGTCCAGGGTGTACCCCGCCTGATTGCCCGTTGACCGCTGGAGATAGGCACCAGCCCCTTACGTGGACAAGTGGGTTCAGAAAATGAATGGATGGAATTCCAGTAAATGGGCATGAATGCATTTCTCAAGCAATTTACTCAAAACCAGAAACTTGGAGATAGGTCTATGATCAACAGGCAGTGAAGCAGCCAGACTAGGCTGATTTAGGAGAGAATGGATAACCACCTTTTTTAAACCATTCGGGACCAAACCAGAATCCAGACTCAAGTTGATCTTATGCAATACTGATGGGGCAGCTGTCAAAAAAACTTCTCTAGGCAGACATAGGGGCATAATGTTCTCCAGAGTACCACTGTGTTTAGCCAGGTCCATCAGCTTAGTTAGGTCGTCTAATGAAATTGGTTGACAGGAAAGCAACTTTTCAACCAACACATTCTCACACCCTAAGCGTCAAAAAATGACACTGTGTGCCAGAGCTTCGGTATCTGATGCCCGTGGTAAAACTGAGATTTCACCGACACTTCACCTCTAACCTCTAGCGATTTAACCTTCCCCTCACGCCCATCCTAACCTTAACCCTGTATGTCAGTGTAAAATTTCTGTTAAGCGTGTTTGAGAGGAATGATGAAACGTGAAACAAAGCTTTGCATGCGCAAGCTGGTTAAGGTTTGGATGGGGGTGAGGGGAAGGTTAAAAAGCAAGAGGGTAAAGGTCACAATTCTGTGAAATCTCCGTTTTACCCCAGGCGTTGGATACGTGTGGAAATAACTCGTGTCAGAAGAGGGTAGAGTTTCCCAAATCCAGTTAAAGATAAGATTGTAGCAAATTTAGTGTAAGGTGGCCCCCATGTCTGTGTTCGCCTTGGGCCCCCAAATTGCTAAATCGGCTACTGGAGCCCGGTCCAAAATGCCCAGCTCAGTGGCCTAGTGGTATGAGTTTTTGCCTTGGGACTGGAAGATCTGGGTTCAAATCCTGGTCTGGTATAACTGAAGACTGAAAAAATGGGACCCAATGCCTCCTTGCTTGACAAGCAGCTTTGAGGGGTTAGATTGTGTAGTTAAACCACCAAATGGTTCCAGAGTGCGGCTGTGTCTGCTGCTCACTGCTCCCCCTGGAGATGGGTGAAATACAGAGGACAAATTTCACACCAGTGTGTGTGTGTGTGTGCCAACTAGTGGGACTTTAACTTTAGACTGGAGTGATTCCAAAGTCCCCAGCCTCACTTCCACGCTGGAAGACATGCTGGTGGGAATGAGGAGGTCTTTCAGAAAGCCAAAGTCCCACTAGTTGTCAAACTTCTGTGTGAAATTTGTTCTCTGCATTTGACCCATCTCCTGGGGGATCAGTGAGCTGCAGACACAGCCGTGCTGAGCACAACACAGGAAAGTCACCTCTTCAGGCCAAGACTCTGCATTAAACTTGCAGCTGGAGGACAAGGGACACGTCTTTGAAGATGACAAAGTACACATTCTTGACAGAGAAGATAGATGGTTGGGAAGAGGAGTACCGGAAGCCATCTACGACAAAAAGAAAAACTTTAAATTGAGGAGGATGTCTCAGGTTTCATATTTCCAGCTTTTCAGATCCAATGTGAAAATTTGCAATAGTTTAGGAAAAAAAATTGAATTGAAGTTATAGTTTGTCTCCCTGACCAAAATTTTATTGTAAATGTCAAACCACGGGTGTGACGTCATACAAGTTTTGCCAAAAGTAAGGCTCTGTCCACTTTCTTGCAATGTCTACTATTTTTAATAGTCCATTTCCCCCTTTTATTACATACATGTTTTATTACATATATATTTTATTACATATATATTTTATTACATATATATTTTATTACATATATATTTTATTACATATATATTTTATTACATATATATTTTATTACATATATATTTTATTACATATATGTTTTATTACATATATGTTTTATTACATATATATTTTATTACATATATATTTTATTACATATATGTTTTATTACATATATATTTTATTACATATATGTTTTATTACATATATGTTTTATTACATATATATTTTATTACATATATGTTTTATTACATATATATTTTATTACATATATATTTTATTACATATATGTTTTATTACATATATGTTTTATTACATATATATTTTATTACATATATGTTTTATTACATATATATTTTATTACATATATGTTTTGTTACATATATATTTTATTACATATATATTTTATTACACATATATATGTATTTTTTTATATTTTATATTTTTCTTCTGGTGAAGCGCCTTGTGGTTTTAATCTTGAGAGGCGCTATATAAAAAGTTGTTTTTTTTTCTTTCTACTAATGTTCCATTTCTGTTTTGATGCATTGTGTTTGAAGGAGTTAAAGGATTCTGTATTTATCTTGAACATTTTGACACCAAATTTACTGAAAATCTGAAAAAGTCTCAAGGAAGAAAGAAGGTAAAGGAGGAAAAAAGTAGTTAAAAAATCAAACTACATTTCAAATAATGCCAACTGTCACACCATTGATTAAAATATTTAAACAATTACAGCAAACTTTAAATTTAAAACGAATAAAGTTAAAAACCTAAGTTTAATGCAAAAACGAAAACATCACAAAATATAAAATACTTCAAACTGCATCAGAAAGACCCGGAAGCACAATTAACTGTAATGATATCTATTTTATTAAGAATTCCTCATCTTTCTATTAGAATTTAACCCTAAAGGGGGAAGAGTCTGTTCTTTATCCTGCGACTCCACCTGACTCAGACCGTCGCCACAGCATCACAGCAACCTCAGCTGGATTTCTGAGCACAAACAGAAAAGAACATTTAGTTCTTTCGCTTGAGTTTGTGCCAAAAAAAGAACTAATTCTGAGGAATTTTCCTGCCTCAGACGAAGATACTGAGTGCATGTTTCTGTGATGAATAAATTTTAGTTGTGATGTTAAATGTCAGCCACTGATAATAAACAGGAATTGAGACTTTAAAGCTGCGGTTTGGTTGGATTTACTCTGTTTTCTATGAGAATTGTTTATTTTTAACATTAGCTGGTATGCACCAGTATGGTAGCGGTTCTAAAAATAAAAAGTAACACGTTCAAATTAATCCCTCCTGTAATTAAATGTATTATTATTATTAATTCCCTTCATTTGAGAAAGAACACGCTCTTCTGACATCAAAACCACTGACAACCAACCCAGCGTGTAAAATGCTACTGAGCAGGAAAATCTGCATCATGTTTTTCTATCAATGCAATTTTCCTGCTGATTGCTCTTTAATCTCAGCGGAATGCAGCACCACTCCAGAGATTTACTGTTCCTGACAGCTATTATTACAGATTAGCTGGAAACACATGGCAAAGATGACTGATTAAAAGATAATCAGGGATTATGTCAGATTACTGAAAGCATCTATCAGACATGCCCTGATACTCAACAGGCTTCTGCTTCAGAAGTATCTCTGTGGAACCACCACAGACCAACATAATAATAATAATAATAATAATAATAATTTTATTTTATAATGCACTTTATATCTCACAACCTCACAGTGCTACATAAAATTAACAGAGTCCAAAACAAAAAATCGAATAAAATGAATAAAATGAAGAGGCAATAAAATAACATAAAATGACATTTAGCAACAAGCTTTTCTAAAAAGATGGGGGTTAAGGTTCTGTTTAAAGGTGTCGACAGTTTGTGGGGCCCTCAGGTGGACAGGGAGGGCGTTCCACAGCCTTGGAGCAGCAGATGAAAAGGCTCCATCTCCCATGCTGCAGAGCTTGGTTCTGGGGGTTTGGAGAGAGTTTGACTTTGCAGAGTGGAGGATGCTTGTGGCTGGGATTGTGAGAAGTTCCTTTAGATAACGGGGGGCGTAACCATGACTGCACTGATAAGTAAGGAGGGAGACCTTATATTCAAATCTGAGTGAAACAGGGAGCCAATGAAGCTCTTTCAGGACTGGTGTAAAGTGCACATATTTTCGCACTCTCATCAGAATCCTGGCAACAGCGTTCTGGGTTTATTGTAGCCTCTGGATGCTTTTGCCAGAAAGTCCAAGAGAAGCACATTACAGTAGTCCTGCCTCGAGGAGACAAAGGCATGGTGACTTCCTGCTTATAAACCCAGATAAATGACCCAAGATAAATAGAATAGAATTGAACAAAGTAGAGTAGAATAAAGTAGAGTAGAACAAAGTAGAGTAGAATAGAATAAAATAGAATAGAATAGAAGAAGGTAGAGTGAAGTAGAAGTTGAGTAGAATAAAATAGAACCTAATAGAGTTGAATAGAATAGAATAGAACTGTGTTGAATAGAATAGACTCAAGTAAAGTACAATAGATTAGAATAGAATAAAGTGGAGTGGAGTAGAGTAGAACAGAATAGATTTGAATAGAATAGAAAAGAATAGAATTAGGTAGAGTACATTAGAATAGAATAGAGTAGAACAGACTAGAATAAAGTAGAAGTTGAGTAGAATAGGACCAAACATCGAATAGAATAGACTAAAGTAAAGTACAATAGAATAGAATAGAATAAAGTGGAGTGGAGTAGAGTAGAACAGAATAGATTTGAATATAATAGAATAGAATTAGGTAGAGTACATTAGAATATAATAGGGTAGAACAGAACAGTCTAGAATAAAGTAGAAGTTGAGTAGAATAGGACCAAACATAGAATAGAATAGACTAAAGTAAAGTGCAATAGAATAGAATAGAATAAAGTGGAGTGGAGTAGAGTAGAGTAGAACAGAATAGATTTGAATATAATAGAATAGAATTAGGTAGAGTACATTAGAATAGAATAGAACAGACTAGAATAAAGTAGAAGTTGAGTAGAATAGGACCAAACATAGAATAGAATAGAATAGAATAGAATAGAATAGCACAAATACACTCTAAACTCATCTGAAAACTCTGATCATAACTTTTCACTCTTTATTGTTTTGTTTAAACACAAATATATTTAAAATGTAATATTACATTTGTTAAGTCACTGATAATTAATTTGGCACGGAGGATTTTTAATTATTCCCTTTTTTCTGACTGGGAACGGGGTGATGAGTCGCTCTCCATCTAATCCTCCATCAAACAAGAAACCTGTTCTGAGGCTCCACCCTGTTCCTCGCAGACACGCCGGCGCCTCTTATCTGCTTTGACTTCGGTCTTGGTTTCCATCCTAACCAGAAACAGACAGTAAAGCTCCTTTAAAATGATAATTAGAATGGAGGTGCTGATGCAGAACACTGAGAATGCTGTGTAACTAATAGAGTTGGGGCGTGTTACCTTAGAACCAAACTTCACCTCTGACGTGAGCTTCCTCCTTCTTACGTCTTTGTTTAATCAGTTTTATCACGTTGATGTTTTTCACCAGGTAACACGTTTCATTAGGAGGGAGATTTTAACCACTAAAACGTGCTGGACACCGACCCTCGAGGCCTGGAATTGAAAAGCCTGTATTACAATAGTAGAAGCCCCTTTTTTACCTGTGTTAGATTATAGATATTTTATATACGCATGCCTCGTCTCAGAGCCATTATGCCGTGGACGCTGTTCATCACGGAGCATGAACCCCTCACCCTAACCCTAACCCTAACCCTCACTGCCTGTTGTATGAGCGAATTGGACGACTCCTTGTCCATGAGAAGACTTAAACATCTGCACATCTTCATCTAAAAAGCCGTTATTGGACTTCTTCCCTCCCATCTTAAGACCTATTGTACAAGAAGAGATTCTGGTGGTTGCAATCTCAGATCAGATCACTGCTATCTACTAAAAGTACCGAGCATTAGGACAGAAGTGGGGAAGAAGGGGTTTAAACGTGCTGCTCCTCAGGCTTGGAACAAAATTCAAGAGCATCTACGACTGGATGAGCTGGTCTCACTAAATACGTTTAAACGAATGTTGGAAGGGTTGGAGAGAGAGGCATCGGGCTGCAGATGTTTGATTGTTTCATCAAGTCCACTTCTATGAAAGGTCTAACCCTGTTTTAATGTTAGATTTTTATGATGTCATTTAGTAAACTTTTATGATTGTAACATGATTGACTTTTTATTTGATGTTATTTTTTTACGTATTAATTTTTTGCCTGTGTGTGTGTGTGTGTCCAGGAATGTGTCTTGCTGCTATTCTTGGCCAGGATACTCTTGAAAAAGAGATTTTTAAGCTCAATGAGGTATTTCCTGGTTAAATAAATGTTTTGATTGATTAAAAATGTGAACATTTTCATGAATGTTGGATTTTTAGACACAAAAACACAGAAAATCAATAATGACATCTATAAACTGATGCGTGTGGGCTTCCCTCTTTGTGAAATGAGGTGCCTCCAGTTTGGTTGGGATGGGTTTCCTCTGAGATTCAAACCCACTGACCTTTACTCCATCCTCATAAAAACAAAAGTTTTCATGACGAGAAGCCTCGGCTAATGAAGTGTTGTTCCTTTTCTCCACCCTGACTCTGACTTTGTCCTCAGAGGCATCAGGAGAGCCTCAGGGCTCTGAGCTGGAGTCTTCATGGTAAGATGACTGTATTTGCATAGCGCCTTCATGGGATTCCACAGCCCCCCAAGTTGCTTTACAACACACTCAGTCATAACGTTTAAGA